TCATAATTTTATTGGCAACTTTTTTTTCTCTCTTACAATTGATGGTGTTTCTGACTCTATGAAATAGAAAGTAGATACCTTGGCTGGGTGCGGTGACTCACGCCTGTAATCCCAGCACTTTGGGAGGCCGAGGTGGGCGGATCATGAGGTCAGGAGATCGAGACCATCCTGGCGAACATGGTGAAACCCGGTCTCTACTAAAAACAAAAAAATTAGCCGGGCGTGGTGGTGGACGCTTGTGGTACCAGCTGCTTGGGAGGCTGAGGCAGGAGAATGGTGTGAGCCCGGGAGGCGGAGGTTGCAGTGAGCCGAGATCGCACCACTGCACTCCAGCCTGGGCAAGAGAGTGAGATTCTGTCTCAAAAAAAAAAAAAAGAAAGAAAGTAGATACCTTTGTGGGTGTAGGGGTTGGAAGTTGAAAGAGTTCCTGCCTTATAACTTTAGTTTTTTCAGGGAGGGTGGACTGTAGGCCATCTGCTAGGGTGGAGGTGAATGGACACTGACACATTTGAGGAAGAAGAGTGAGATGCTTCATTTTTCTCTTCCCTATACTATCCCTCTCCTGTCCTCTATCAGTTTCCATGTCTTAGGACTTTGACCTCCTTAAAAATCTGCACTGTGTTTACTGTGGTGTTCCCAGTGCTTAGCACAGTTTATCACTCAGCACATGATAAATTATCATGAAGTATTTGCGTTAATGATGAATGAACACGTGAAGGAAGAAAGTTTGGAAGAGCAGGTGTGGAGAGTAGAAGAGGTAATTAACTAGAAACATTAATAAGGATTACCCAGGAGGTGGTTTCCCCATTTGAGATTCAAGACTACGTACCAGTCTTCACTGTTGGATGATTCTGTTTTTCAATAGTTATTGCCATTTCATATATGAGAGTAAGAACCCTGGTGGTTGAGTTGATCCAGATTTGGGGATTTTTAGGGTGAGCTTGATAGAGAGGCAAAAGGCGGAGGATGTGGAGAGTATAGAGAAGAAAACAAATTATCTAATGTTGCTAGAATGCAGATGTACTTGTTGACCTAGAATGCATACTTTTTGTTTTCATTGTTTCAAAACTACTTCCAGCTTGTTTTTGCATCATTTCAAGCCCTTGATTGTGTCCTGTTCTATATTCTTGACTAGAATGCTTTTAGTAACTACTGTCTAGTGAATTTATTTTATTTTTTGAAATTATTTTTTTAATTTTGATTTTTGTAGATTTAGAGAGTAAAAATGCAGTTCTGTTACATGGCTGTTTTGCAAAGTATGAGCTTTTAGTGTAACTATCACCCAAATAGTGTACATTGTACCCGTTAGGTAATTTCTCATCCCTTACCTCCTCCCACCCTCCCACCTTTAGAAGTGTCCACTGTGCCTCCAACTTCTCCCCATGTGTCATATAGATTCTCTGAAGAGACTTGTCATCTAGGTTCCAGGAGGGGGACATTCAGCCCTGGTATTGTTCACTGTCTTTTCTAGACTCCAGCTTAGATAGGCAGCTGCTATGAGGTACCTCCAAAGATGCTTCTGCCTTGACTCTGGGGGTCGTCAGTGACCCATATGTTCTGGAACAGAGCTACTCAAACTGTGGTCTGTGGACCAGCAACATCAGCATCCCATCTTGCCTGTGGGAGTGTGGGAAATGCACATTCTCAGGACATACCTCGGACCTAGCGAATCAGAATGTCTGGGAGCAGTGCTCAGGAATCTGCATTTTAACAAGCTCTGTGGATGACTCTTACACACCCTAACATTTGAGAAGCTTTATTCTAAAATATTTTCTAATATTTTCTAATATCCACCTGAGCAATCATGATGAACTTTTCATTTTAATGAGTGGTAATTGTGGTTAGAGATAAACAAAAGGTTCATTGGGCATAGTGAGTATAATGATGGAATATTGACCTTGGTGAGAATAGAGTGGCTGTTGTAGAAAAGGAGGAGGTTTGGGTGGCCATAGGGCATGATAAAAGCAGAAGGTACCTGGGGTCATGGAATTGATAATAAAGAGAATTGGGAATGAATTGAAGGATGAACATGTTTTAGATGCTTGTCATTATAAGGGGTTACTATTTGCTTTTGGGCTAAGTCTAATTTTGGTTCTCTCAAAAATAAGCCAAAAGGAGGCAATTTGCAGACATTTAGAGGGTTAGGTAAGTTCTTCACATAGAACAATATTAAACAGCTTCTAGATATTACCTGTACTGGTATGATATTTCTTTTCTGATGTCTGAGCAGATCTAGATCTTCTTCCTCATCCTCCAAATGCACCACACCCAAACACCTTTTTTTTGTGTCTGGATAATCATAGATTTGCTTGAATAGGGTCGGGGGAGTGATCTGACCTCTTTATTACCTCCACTGAGCAGCAGTGATTAACAATGTTGAGATTTAGTTACAAATAATTATTTCCTTTGGGGTAGCTCAGTGAGCAGATGCTTCTTTTAGAGGCCATTGGTGGGAGTGTTAAACAACAAGCTGGCCCAATTTTTCAAACAAAAATTTCTTATAGAAACTTTATAAGCATTACATATTCTGTTCTTGCAATGTGCCGAAGAGAACCTTTTGGAAAATGACAATCAGACCTTAGTGTGGCTTAGGAACAAAAGACAGTAATCTCACAAGCGAGGGAAAATTTAATAGATTGCTACAGAGACAGACAGCCCTCCTTGGGCTTCTTGTGCTCCCAGACATCTTGCTACATGAGCCACGCATGTAAGGCCCTGGTCATTCTTTATGTGGGCCATTTTTCAGGGTTGTGGTGAGCAACCTTGAAGAATGAGTTACTGTTTCCCTTCAGGACCAAGAGCAGGTTTAGCAGGTTTGCTTACTACTTACTGTAGACGTGGTAGATCATTTAAACTCAGCTTTCTTTCCTGTAACACAATCCACTGTGAATGCAAGTGTCCTTGGGCCCTCTGCATTGCCCCTGTGGCAGTGTGGGACCCAGGAAAACCAATATAAATGTCCTGGTGATCATGCTGCTTTGCTGTGCTGTAAGTAACGTAAGTCTTCTGTCTCTAACCCAGGAATCTCATGTCTTCTGCCGGCATCCATGAAACAGTAAGAGATTAATTTATTAGTTTGTATGTAAACTAAAATCAAATTACAAATCCGATCATCGTATGTTGAACATTAGAGAGAGCTTTGGGTCTCTTAAAAGGAATTTGTTCAAGGGTTTCCTGAGTAGGGTGTTAGGAAGGGAGCAAAGGCTAGAGGCAGTAGTAGTATTTAGGATCAGTAGATTGCACAGTAAATGAAAGTATTTGAGGGGGTGTTTCATGTCATAGGTAGTTATACAAATACACATATACCTGTTATGGGGACAGTAACCCAAATTGGTTTGGATAAGAAACGATAGTGTTTCTTTTCTAATAACTCTGTTAACCTTGCCTTTAGGTGAGTATCAGTTGTTCTGAGGAGTAATAGTGGCACAGCGTATCCCCGTAATCTGTACAAATGGCCCAGGCAGTCAGATGGCATACTTTACTGCTAAGGTGGATGAGGCTTGTTTCATTTGTGGGGGCAAGGACATGTGCTACTTATTAAACTTTTTTTTCCCTTCTCAATGTATCTTTAGGCCAAAGTCTCTAACAGTTGCTTTTCCGTATCACTGAAGGATGCAAAAATCTGGGGTAAAGAATGTTCAACTGAAAGAAGAAGGAGTTAGTAGGACAGGGATGTAGAAGGCAGCTGGTGAGAGAGATGGTCCAAGGTAAAGGATTGTGCAGGTGTCGTATACGTTATTGTCCTCATCCAGCTGTTTTCCCACCCCTGGATTTGTTGGATAACTCCTTGAACAGTGAAGGTAGAAACACATTCCACAGCCATGTGAATTCCAACTTCTGAGAAAGCTGAGCTACAGAACAGTTCTAATATAAACTGATGTAATGAGATTCTAGAGTCTGCTGTCATCACATTCTGTGTTGTTACCATGTTAACTCCATATGCAGCTTGAGCATTCAGTCTTCTGACCTGTTCCACCTACACAGGGCAATTTATGGCTTAAAGATGATGGCCTAGAAGGGAGGGGAGAGACTTACTTTGGATTAAATTCAAAATGGGAAAATGCTTAAGGTAAGCCTTAGAAAAAAACTTCAACATATGCTAAAGGAACATTGAAAATATTCATAAACCAACCTTTAGTGCTTCCTTTAGTTTCCCATAATAACTGGATATCCTGGACTGTCCGGATATTTACTTGAATCATTATCCCCAGAGAGATTCTGCTTCATCCATGGTTAATATTTTAAAATACAATTAGTCAACAGAATATAAGTTTATTCTCCTTAACTCCTTTAAATACAGTAGTTTAGTAGTCTCAAACAGATATTGTGGTTTATTACTTTTTTTTTTTTTTTTTTTTTGAGAAGGAGTCTCACTTGTCACCCAGGCTGGAGTGCAGTGGTGCGATCTCAGCTCACTGCAACCTCCGACTTCTGGGTTGACGCCATTCTCCCGCCTCAGCCTCCCAAGTAGCTGGGACTACAGGAGCCCACCACCACGCCCGGCCAATTTTTTTATATTTTTAGTAGAGACAGTGTTTCACTGTGTTAGCCAGGATGGTCTCAATCTCCTGACCTTGTGATCCACCTGCCTCAGCCTCCCAAAGTGCTGGGATTAGAGCCCTGAGCCACTGCGCCCGGCCTGGTTTATTATTTTTAAAACCAGTTCTGTCTTTTCCTTCGGGAATCTTTTTTTCTGGTATCCTGGCATATGCTTCCCCTGATCTTTCTACCTGCTTCCCTGATTTTATCAACTTCTCTTCCCAAGGTTTAATAGAGTGGGTAGGTACTATGTAGGCAGAAATAAGCTTTTAGACTCGTGTATTCTTTTGAGTACATCTGTGTGACCATTAACTTCAGCTCCCCTATTCTTATTCCCTGCTGTTTCTGTCTTGGTATGGAAACAGTACCAGCTGGTAGACACCAAAAGGTGGATATTATCCTTCAGGAGGCTTGGCAGGTCCACTCTTCTCCCTATTTTTTTTTTCCTCATTTGACCCTTTTCTCACTCTAGCTGCTGCAAAGAGGACCAGAGCTTCCAGCGATGTTCTCCAGAAGATCAAGTTACTACAGACGCCCAGCATCGTGGAGCCTCTTCGATTTCACAACCAAATATATCTCTTGGTCATAAAATGTCTTATTCCCCTGTAACATGTAAAGTCAATTCAGCCAGAGCAAGGAGAAGGTTATTATCTCTATCAAGTCCATCTTTCTCTGAAAGAAGATGTTCTTTATTTGTTGGATTTCAAAAAAGAAATGCTTCCCCATACCGGCAACAAAGTAGAGCTAACTTTGATTCTGAAGAAGACACAAGCTTCACTGATTTAAAATCTTCCTCAGACAATTTTGGTAGCTTTATGTCCTGCAGGAGACGTTTCTCATCCCATAAACTAAGTATAGTTTCCTATTACAAGAGTGCCAATTTTTTTGATCCTCAAGCAAGTGGCCAGAATGTGTTTAATCTAAAAGAAATCGAAATCTTTTCTAAAACCTCAAATAATACTGATGCTAAAAAACATATAAGCATCTCTGCTCCTGAATATAACACTAAAAATTTTAAGAATTTTGAAACAAACACTACTTCTCCAGTCTTTGGGAACACTATTGATACAGCCTCCTATCAACAAAGCACATCATCCTTCTTTTCTCTTGCAAGTGATGTTTCCTCTCCCGATCAACAAAATGGAATTGCCACCGATATTCAACAAAGGGGCCAATTATGTAAAGATTTAAAAGATTTCCTTCATCCTGATACTGAAAGTTACAGCACAGATCATTCTCCAATCACGATTCAACAGCATCCCTCTCAAAGTGGAACTTTCCCATTCCTCCATAAAGCTGGATTTTCTTCATCATATAAAAATTCTGGTTGCTTTATCCCATTTCAAAACGAAGTAACTTCAGGCCCATCTGAAGATGAAGACTTTGCTGTCTTGTTTCAAGATGAAGACAGATCTTCACCTATTGAAATTCCTAAAATAAGGTCACCTCAGACTTTACCCTGTCTTAGAAGGGCACCTCAAATAGTTTTCCCACCAGTCACTTTCATAGTCTGTAGAACTCATTTCTCATAACTCCCCTTTCCTCACCAAACTTCACTGCATTTTCTGAAAAAGATTCCTACATTGCAGTATAAATTTAATTGCTGTACTTTTGAAAGTTAGTTTACTGATGTTATTGGAGTATGGAAGATGATTTTGTTTCAAGCTTTTTTCAGATTTACTGCTTAAAGATGGGCTAATCTCAGATTTCTGAGTGACTGTTGTAATACTTTTGTGGTCTAAAAATAACATCAAGCCTTGATGTATGGACCTTCTAAAAGTAATACATTCTTTGAGAGTTTAGTATCCCCTTTTATCATACTCTAATCATTAGAAATAGTATTCTTACATAATCTCTAGAGTTATATTCATCAGTACACACATTTTCATACATATCAGCCTTGCTAGCTATATTTCTCGTGCCCGATGTTCCACTGACAGATGATGTTTTTATTAACACAAGAATCAAATTAGAAGTTAAAAATGTTTAGCGGAATATGTAGAATATTTCGAAACCAGATATTTTAACTAAGTAATTTTAATACACATTCATGTATGTGCAAATCTGGGCATTCAAGGAATTCTGAAATCGGGAAAAAGTATGTATATTAGTCTCCCAAAATTTTATTTTTAAAAATGAATGTTTTTTATTTTTTTCCCATTGTATTAAACAAAGACTATTATAAAGTATTTACCAAAGTAGCTAATGAATGAAAATGCATGTAAGCAATTGAAAACATCTAAGTTAGAATACAATTAGATTTTATAGAGGAAAGGAATTTGCATTATTTCTAATTATCCTAATAAAATGTCCCCCAAATTTGTATCATGGGGCTAAGATGTTATTTTTACTTTTATGGTTTTCTCTTCTTCTTAGCATGTGTCTTAAAAAATGGTCTTTTGATTTTATTTTTAAAAATTGTGATAAATACAAAATTTACCATCTTAACCATTTTAAAATGTGTGTTTCAGTGACATTAAGTACATTCACATTGTTGTACAGCCATCACCACCATCCGTTTCCACAACTCTTTTCATCTTGCAAAACTGAAACTCTCCACCCATTAGATTAGGACTCTCTACTCCGCTGTCTCCCTAGCCCTTGTCAACCATCACTCTACTTTATATATATGATTTTGGCTACTCCAAGTACTTCATATAAGGGGAATCATATGGTATTTTGTGACCAGCTTATTTTGCTTAGCATAGTGTATAATGTCCTCAAGGTTCATCTGTGTTTTAGCATATGTCAGAATGTCCTTCCTTTTTAAGGCTGAATAATATTCCACTATATGTATATATCACAAATTGCATATCCTTTATCCATCAGTGGACAATTTGGGGTGCTTCCATGTTTAACTGTTGTGAATAATGCACTGTCTATGAACATGTGTATGCAACTATCTGTTCGAAACCTTGCTTTCGATTCTTTTGAGTATATATCCAGAAGTGGAATTATTGTATCATATGGTAATTATATTTTAATTTTTTGAGGAACTACCATATTGTTTTCCATAGTGGCTGCACCATTTTACATTTGCACCAAGAATGTAGAAGGATTCCAGTTTCTCTGCTACCTTGCCAACACTTATTATTTTGTTTTGTTTTGTTATAGTAGCCATCCTAATGGATATGAGGTGGCATCTCATTGTGGGTTTTTATTTGAATATCCCTAATGGTTAGTGACATTGAACATCTTTTTGTGTGACTGCTGCTTATTTGTATATCTTCTTTGGAGAAATGCCAATTCAAGTCTCTTGACCATTTTTTTTAAAATCAGGTTTTATTTTGTTGTTGATTTGTAGGAGTTCTTTATATATTTTGGATATTAACACTTTAAAAAAGATATAATTTGCAAATATTTTCTCCCGATGTGTGGGTTGCCTTTTTGTTGATTATGTCCTTTGATTCATAGAAGTTTTAGATTTTGAGGTCTAATTTATCAATTTTTTCTTTTATTGACTATGCTTTTAGTGCCATAATCAATAAATCATTGTCAAATCCACTGTTGCGTTATCTTTTAAAAGTTTTATAGCTTTAGGTTTTACATTTAGGTCTTTGATGCATTTTGAGTTAATTTTTGTGTGTGATATTAAGTAATGGTCTTACTTCATTCTTTTATTTGTGAATATCCAGTTTTCTCAACACCGTTTGTTGAAGAGATTACCCTTTCTCCTTTAAATGGTCTTGGAACCTTTGTCAAAAGTCATGTGATCATATATGTGTGGTTGACTTCTGGGCTTTCCATTTTCTTTCACTAGCCTATACATCTGTCTTTACACCACACTGTACCACACTGTTTGGTTACTGTAGCTTTGTAGTAAGTTTGAAAATCAGGAGGTGTGAGACCTCCAACTTTGTTTTTATTTTTCAAGATAATTTTGGCCATTTGGGGTGTCTTGGAATTCCAAATGAATTTCAGGATAGATGTTTCTATTTCTACAAAAAATATTGGGATTTTCAGAGGGATTGCATTGCATCTGTAGATTATTTTGGGTAGGATTGACATCTTAACATTATAAACTTTCAAATCCACAAACATAGGATGTCTTTCTATTTGTATCTTATTTAAATTCTTTCAGCAGTGTTTTGTAGTTTTCAGTGTACAGGTTTTTCATCTCAGTTAAGTTTATTTCTAAGTATTTTATACTTTTGATGCAATTATAAGTGAAAGTATTTTTATAATTCTTTCCAGGTAGCTCATTGTTAATACATAGAAAAACACCTGATTTTTGTGTGTTGATTTTCTATCCTGCAACTTTGCTAAATTTTATTAATTCTTATTTTGTGTATGTGTGTGAAATATTTAGGGTTTTTCTACCTATAAGATTGTGTTGTCTGTGATCAGAGGATAACTTTGTTTCTCCCTAATTTGGATGCCTTTTATTTCATCATCTTGCCTAGTTGCACTGGCTAGGACTTTTAGTACTATGTTGACTAGAAGTGATAAAGAGCACCCTTGTCTTGTTTCTAATCTTAATAAGAAAGCTTTCAGCTTTTCACCATTGACTATGATGTCAGCTGTGGACTTTTCACATATGGCGTTTAATATATTGAAGCAGTTAATTTTTATTCCTAGTTTGTTGAGTGCTTTTATCATAAAAAGGTGATAAATTTTGTCAAATGCTTCTTCTGCATCAATGGAGATGATCATGGGTTGTTTTTCCCTTCATTTTGTTTATGTTGTATTGATATACTTTGACTGTGTCCCCACCCAAATCTCAACTTGAATTGTATGTCCAGAATTCCCACATGTTGTGGGAGGTACCCAGGGGGAGGTAATTAAATCGTGGGGGGCAATCTTTCATGTGCAATTCTCATGATAATAAGTCTCACGAGATCTGATGGAGGTATTTGTCCTAATGGTACCCCTCCCCTTGTTCCCCACCCCCTGACGGCCCCCAGTGTGTGATGTTCCCCTCCCTGTGTCCATGTGTTCTCATTGTTCAACTCTCACGAGTGAGAACATGCAGTGTTTGGTTTTCTGTTCCTGTGTTAGTTTGCTGAGAATGATGGTTTCCAGCTTCACCCATGTCCCTGCAAATACCTAACATAGATGACGGGTTGATGGGTGCAGCAAACCACCATGGCACATATCTACCTATGCATATATCTGTATAGTAGAATGCTTTATAATCCTTTGGGTATATACCCATTAATGGGATTGCTGGGTCAAATGATATTTCTGTTTCTAGATCCTTGAGAAATTGCCACACTGTCTTCCACAAGGGTTAAACTAATTTACACTCCCACCAACAGTGTAAAAGTGTTCCTATTTCTCCACATCCTCTCCAGCATCTGTTGTTTCCTGACATTTTAATTATCACCATTCTAACTGGCATGAGATGGTATCTTATTGTGATTTTGATTTGCATTTCTCTAACGACCAGTGATGATGAGCTTTTTTTCATATGTTTGTTGGCCGCATAAATGTCTTCTTTTAAGAAGTGTCTGTTCATATTCTTCACCTACTTTTTGATAGGGTTGTTTGGTTTTTTCTTGTAAATTTAAGTTCCTTGTAGATTCTTGATATTAGCCCTTTGTCAGATGGATAGATTGCAGAAATTTTCTCCCACTCTGTAGGTTGCCTGTTCACTCTGATGATAGTTTCTTTTAATGTGCAGAAGTTCTTTAGTTTAATTAGATCCAGTTTGTCTATTTTGGCTTTTGTTGCAATTGCTTTTGGTGTTTTAGTCGTGAAGTCTTTGCCCATGCCTATGTGCTGAATGGTATTGCCTAGGTTTTCTTCTAGGGTTTTTATGGCTTTAGGTCTTACATTTAAGTCTTTGATCCTTCTTGAGTTGATTTTTGTATAAGATGTAAGGAAGGGGTCCATTTTCAGTTTTCTGCATATGGATGGCTAGCCAGTTTTCCCAACACCATTTATTAAAAAGGGAATCCTTTCCCCATTGCTTATTTTTGTCAGGTTTGTCAAAGATCAGATGGTTGTAGGTGTGTGGTGTTATTTCTGAGGCCTCTGTTCTATTCCATTGGTCTATATATCTGTTTTGGTACCAGTACCATGCTGTTTTGGTTACTGTAGCCTTGTAGTATAGTTTGAAGTCAGGTAGTGTGATGCCTCCAGCTTTGTTCTTTTTGTTTAGGATTGTCTTGACTATATGGGCTCTTTTTTGGTTCCATATGAAATTTAAAGTAGTTTTTTCTAATTCTGTGAAGAAAGTCAATGGTAGCTTGATGGGAATAGCATTGAATCTATAAATTATTTTGGGAAGTATGGCCATTTTCACAATATTGATTCTTCCTATCCATTAGCATAGAATATTTTTCCATTTGTTTGTGTACTCTCTTATTTCCTTGAGAAGTGGTTTGTAGCTCTTCTTGAAGAAGTCCCTCACATCCCCTCTAAGTTGTATTCCTAGGCCTTTTATTCTCTTTGTAGCAAATGTGAATGGGAGTTCACTTATGATTTGGCTCTCTATTATTGGTTTATAGGAATGCGTGTGATTTTTGGTTTGTAGGAATGCGTGTGATTTTTTATCCTGAGACTTTGCTGAAGTTGCTTATCAGCTTAAGGAGTTTTGGGGCTGAGATGATAGGGTTTTCTATATATACAGTTATGATATCTGCAAACAGAGACAATTTGACTTCCTCTCTTTGTATCTAAATACCCTTTATTTATTTATCTTGCCTGATTGCCCTGACCGGAACTTCCAATACTGTGTTGAATGGCAGTGGTAAGAGAGGGCATCCTTGTCTTGTGCTGGGTTAAGAGAGGGTATCCTTGTCTTGTGCTGGGTTCAGAGGGAATGCTTCCAGCTTCTGCCTATTCAGTATATTATTTTCAGATATGTTCCATCAATTCCTAGTTTATTGAATGTTTTTAGCATGAAGTCTTGTTTAATTTTGTCAAAGGCCTTTTCTGCATCTATTGAGATAATCAATAGATTATCTCATAGGTTCTCATTTGTCATAGGTTCTGTTTATGTGATGGATTACATTTATTGGTTTGCATATGTTGAACCAGCCTCACATCCTTGGGATGAAGCTGACTTGATTGTGGTGGATAGCTATTTGATGTGTTGCTGGATTCGGTTTGCCAGTATTTTATTGAGGATTTTTGCATCGATCTTCATCAGGGATATTGGGACTGAAATTTTCTTTTTTTGTTGTGTCTCTGCCAGGTTTTGGTATCAGGATGATGCTGGCCTCACAAAATGAGTTAGGGAGGAGTCCCTCTTTTTCTGTTGTTTGGAATAGTTTCAGAAGGAATGGTACCAGCTCCTCTTTGTACCTCTGGTAGAATTTGGCTGTGAATCCGTCTGGACCCAGGCTTTTTATGGTTGGTAGGCTATTAATTACTGCCTCAATTTCAGAACTTGTTATTGGTCTATTCAGGGATTTGACTTCTTCCTGGTTTAGTCTTGGGAGGGTGTGTGTGTCCAGGAATTTATCCATTTCTTGTAGATTTTCTAGTTTATTTGCATAGAGGTGTTTATAGTATTCTCTGATGGTAGTTTGTATTTCTGTGGGATCAGTGGTAATATCCCTTTTATCATGTTTTATTGTGTCTATTTGATTCTTCTCTCTTTTCTTCTTTGTTAGTCTTGCTAGTAGTCTATCTATTTTGTTGATCTTCTCAGAAAACCAACTCCTGGATTCATTGATGTTTTTTGAAGGGTTTTTCGTGTCTGTATCTCCTTCAGTTCTGCTCTGATCTTAGATATTTCTCATCTTGTGCTAGGTTTTGAATTTATTTGCTATTGCTGCTCTAGTTCTTTTAATTGTGATGTTAAGGTGTCAATTTTAGATATTTCCCACTTTCTCTTGTGGGCCTTTAGTGCTATAAATTTCCCTCTAATCACTGCTTTAGCTGTGTCCCAGAGATTCTGATATGTTTTATCTTTGTTCTTATTGATTTCAAAGAACTTATTTATTTCTGCCTTAATTTTGTTATTTACCCAGTAGTCATTCAGGAGCACGTTTTTCCATTTCCATGTAGTTGTGCAGTTTTGAGTGAATTTTTTAATCTTGAGTTCTAATTTGATTGCACTGTGGTCTGAGAGACTGTTTGTTGTGATTTTTGTTCTTTTACATTTGCTGATTAGTGTTTTACTTCCAATTATGCGGTCAGTATTTGAATAAATGCTATGTGGTGCTGAGTAGAATGTATATTCTGTTGATTTGGGGTGGAGATTTCTGTAGATGTCTATTAGGTCCTCTTGATCCAGAGCTGGATTAAAGTCCTGAATATCCTTGTTAATTTTCTGTCTCATTGATCTGTCTA